GTCCGTTGAGATGGAATCTTCATGGGCCTTGCTGGACTCCAGGGCTACGCATCCTTTCAGGCCCGCTCAAGGAGGTGAGGATACCAAGACTCCACCAGTGTCAGTCAAGCTTGCTGATGGTAAGACTGTGATGTTGCGTCAAAACCGGGCGGGCACTCTCATGCCATGTGGGAACAACAACAACCAGAATGCCTCGAGCTCCTCCTTTGTACCTTCGGGGTCGTTAGTGAAGGAACTGGGTTGCACGGTGTCATGGACAAAGCGCGGCTTGCAAGTCGAGCACCCCGAGCACGGCACGATCTCTGCTCATGTTGTTGGGTCGTGTCCCTACATTGGCGAGTCGCAAGCCCTCGAGCTTATTCGGGAGCTCGAAAACCGCAAGCTGGAACAACTGAAGGTGAACACCATCGAAACCCAGTTGAGGATGAATGGCTTGTGATCCAGGACATTGATTTGAGTGACAAGGCAGGCAACCAGTACTTGAAGGCGCTGCCCATTGAGAGAGCCATGAGAAAGAAGTTGATGACACTCGATGGTTTGTGCACATGTACTCAGGCAATGGCTCCGATGATGATTTCAAGGTGTTGGAGGAGGACGGAGTGACCCTTCTGAACATTGACTTGAGTATCAGCAAGGCTTTCAATCTTGGGGAGCCCATGCCCAGCCTATCGAGCTCTTTTGTGGGCGGCTATGAGAGGTCAAATTCACGGTGTGCTTGGGGGACCTCCTAGAAACCGAGGGCGTTGGCGACTTGGTTCTGAAGCAAATGTTCCTGTGGGCAGTGGCACGGTCTGCAGCGGAGAACTATGAGATTGCGACACCAGGTTTTGCTATGACTATGCCTACTGCTAGTGAACTGTGGAAGTCGGAGCTCTGGAAGAAGTTTCGCTCAGAGACTGAGGTGAAGGTTGCGGCCGGAAGCCCGAGCGTTACTGTAGCCACGTCCCTTGACTTGACTGAAGTTCAGTCAACTACGGGGCAATGGTGTGGACTAAGGAGTTCAAGGAGACCTTGGTTCAGGGTTTCCAAAGAATGGCGGACCGTCATCGCTCTTCGGCGACTTGATGGTCCTTTGAGTGGCATGAGCAATGAGAGCTCCACAGGTGGATCCAGCATGTTCGACCTGGTCATATCCCTTACAACAAACGCTGCCAAACCTGTGTGGCCACCAAGGCCACAGTGCGCAAGGGAAGGTCGAGTACCCTTCGTGCTACACAATGTCAGTGGATGTTTGTGCACTGGAAGGCCTTCGGCTTTGATCTGAAGGTACAGCTGTCGTACTCCAGCATTCACCTCGTAGCACGTCTCGACCTCATAGGGACCGCGAACCTCAGCACTTGATAGTTGATCTTGTCCCCGACTTCCCGCACCAACTCATTGTATTCACTGTTCAGACGATCTAGCTCTTCACGATCACTTCCAGCTAATCCTCCTCCTCAGCGAACAAATCCTCTAGACCATGGATACCCCTCGGACTGTGGTTCTAAAGGGTCATCACCGCGAACTAGGTCGTCTGGTGGATCGACTGAAGCTGGTTCACCTTGTGGTAGGTCGTCTGGTGGATCGATTGAAGCTGGTTCACCTTGTGGTATGTCACCAACTCCGGCCCCCGGCACATTGATGATGTCATCTTCAAATCCCCTTGCCCTTCCGGGTAGCACTGGCATAACAGGCATAACATAAGAGGCCACAAGCATGTACTTGTTGTCCAAAGCTTCAGGGGTGTGTCCTTTATGCCGAAAAGGCCAACGGGAGAGGCGCAATCCCCTCAGCAGAACGGTCGCGCTGAGATGACAGTCAAGTTTGTCAAGAATGAAGCGAGGGCATTACTCACAGCAGCCAAGCTCCCCTAATCCGACTGGCCGCTAGCCATGAGGTATGCGGTACATCGTCAGCGACTACAAGTTCTCGGCAAGGTTGAAGATTTGCCAGTGTTCGGTTGTCCAGTACATGTTCGGACCAAGGTATACGGAAGAGCCGGAAAATACGACATCGATAATAAGTGGCGTCAAGGCCTTTATGTAGGCCCATCCGAGGATGTGGCCCACGGGCACGTTGTGAAGTTCCCGTGACGAGTCTGCACCTCAAGGCGAACTTAGTCAGAATGATCCGCCCTGGGGACGGGACTAGCCCGCGCGAAGCGCGCGAAGCGCGCGCGCGAAGCCGGGGCGAGGTGCGCGAAGCGCGGGTGCGCGAAGCCACGCGAAGCGAGCGCGCGAAGCACGGTCGCACGAAGCCGCGCGAAGCCGGCGCGAGGCACGCGAAGCGCGCGAAGCCGCGCGAAGCGCGCGCGCGCGCGAAGTGTGGGCGCGCGAAGTCACGCGAAGCGCGCGAAGCCGCGCGAAGCGGCGCGAAGCCGAGTGTGCGCACACGCCCACGAAGCCTAAGCAGCCCGCGCGAAGCGCGCGTGCGAAGCGCTTGCGCGCGAAGCCGGCGCGAGGCGCGCGAAGCACGTGCGAAGCCACGCGAAGCCGCCTGAAGCCGCGCGAAGCCGAGCGCGCGCAGGGGCACGCGCGAAGCCACGCGCGCGAAGCCGGCGCGAGCCGTGCAAAACGCGCGCGAAGCCACGCCAAGCAGCCTGCATGCGCTTCGCTTCGCGCGAAGCCGCATGTGTGTGTGTGTGTGTGTGTGTGTGTGTGTGCATGTGTATGTGCATGTGTGTCTGTGGTGATTTATATATGTATGTACTTATTATGTATATGTATGAAATCCCCTCATCCGTTTAATAAAACCCCTTTACCCCCTGAAATATACAGAATTATTTTGGGCCTTTAATTTTTGATATTAGGGGAATTTCGGGTGGTTTCCAGCGGAGGGCGTATCTTTTCACTCCCTTTTTTTTCACCCCCTGTCCCCCTGGTCCTCTGGTCCTCTGGTCCCGTGGTCCTCCGGTCCCGTGGTCCTTTGGTCCCCTGGTCCCTTGGTCTTCTCGGTCCTGTTAGTAGTAGTAGTAGTAGTAGTAGTAGTAGTAGTAGTAGTAGTAGTAGTAGTAGTAGTAGTAGTAGTAGTAGTGGTAGTAGTAGTAGTAGTAGTAGTAGTGGTGGTAGTGGTAGTACTCGTCGTCGTAGTAGTAGTATCACAGTCATAGTAAGAATACAAATAGCTTTGAAATAGCAGTAGTAGTAGTAGTAGTAGTAGTAGTAGTAGTAGTAGAAGTACTAGTAGTCGTAGTAGTACTAGTCGTCGTAGTAGTAGTAGTAGTAGTAGTCGTAAAGCGCCACGAGCGGTTCAAAGTAGATCGGAGGGTTCATGAATACCCAAGTGACTGCTCTCTCAGCTTGCCGGGCTTTCCTATCTGACCTGTGTTTGGATCAGTTGTGGAGCGACACTTCCGGCCGTTGCTACGCAGCACAGCTTGCTGCGGCTTACTGGAGTGCAGCTGACCTGCCAGCCTTGATCGAGGATTCCGCATACATTCTGCCCAGGACAGAGCGCTACATTTTCTGTGCAAAGCTTGTGCGTGAACGATTGATCTCGGAAAACTTGCTCATGTCACAATTCCAAAGCCAGCAGCAGTGATGGGGTTTCAACTGTTTTTCGGACTTTCTACCTCTCCGACTTATGAAGGTTCTGCAGACACTAAGCAATCGACCTTTCTCCCACGCCACGAATGGGGATATGCTTTCTCCCAAGATATTGATCAGTGTGGAACCTACAGCTCTACCCGGTCCCAACTCCGGGGATGGAATGCAGATATCGGTCTAAAAGGTGGACAGACAGCTTCCATCGGCGCGAGGGTTGGCGTTGCGGCCTCAAGCACGCCTGAAGTAGTCTCTTCGGGGGCTACGAAGAATGAGGATTCAATGCCCAAATCAAAGAGATGTTCAGCAGATAGAGTGAAAAAACGAGCATACATGCGTGCGCTACGGCGCCCGGCCAGGGATGGACAAGCGAGCTACAGAGGCAGGACCTTGTATGTACGCAAGGAGTTCATACCGGCTGTTGTTGTCACGCCAACGGTTGCCAAACCAAAAGGCCCCAGGATGGAGATTTTCTCGTGGAACTGCTCCGGACTGAGCGAGGAGCTGTATCAGGAGTTGTTATGCGGTGCTGCTTCAAGAAACGCATTGGGGATTCACCAATGAGTGGAGACGAAGTGGCTGGTATTTTGTGCACAGCGCGTGCGCGAAGCACCGCTGCGGCGGTCTGCTGGTGGCAATCCGGGAATCGGTTGCTGACGGCAAACAGATCAGGTGGAAGGATCCGGTCCCGGGTCGCCTTATGCAGGTCAGATGCATAATTGAGGGCCAACAAGTTGATATAGTCAATCTGTATCAACATGCTTGGAGCGTCAAAACAGCCGAGCAAAACCAGGTTCTGGTACAGCATCGCGCTTCTTTATGGTCCGAGCTTGATAGGCTTTTGAGCTCGTTGCCGTGGCGCTCTACAGTGGTACTGGCAGGAGATTTCAATACGGTATTGCGCCAGGAAGCGGGGGTGACGGGCTTCGGGATCCACTCGGGAGGTCAGCAGCCTGAGGTTGTGAAAGACCGGGAACGCTTGATGCGTGTTCTCGCTCAACACAAACTATGCGGTCTTAACACCTGGTCCACCAAGGCATACACATATGAGCACCCACAGGGAAAATCTCAGATAGACTATGTCATCGTCAGGCGTTAATCTGCAGACGGCTTGGCCAGAAAATGCAAGCCAGAGGCGACCATTATGGCCGGGTGGAGATCAGCAGGACACCTACCGCTGCGTGCCACTGTCAAGCTGCGGTGGCGACCGTGGCAAATCGGTGCCAGAGTGACCGCGCATGTGGTGAGAACCAGGTGCCCCCGCCTGGTGGCATTCCTGATGCTTGGACTCTTTCGGAACTGCAGCTTTGTCTTAAAGCGGATTCTCCTCCTCCCCCCCCTAAGTGCCCGACTCAGCCTCAAATTGATGTCAGTGCACAAGTCCAGTCTTACTGGCGTCTTCGGCGAGCGTTGTTGGAGACGACTGGGGTTAGGATGCTCGCGCTGCAGAGACACAGGGCGATGCAGATTGAACATCGACGGCTCAAACGAGAAATTCGACAGGCAAAGCACCAGCGCATTCTCAAGGTTCTGGAAGAAGCGGAGTTGGCGGCGCAGCGTGGTGACACTAGGAGCTTGTATCAGTATGTCAGGCAGCTTGCGCCGCGTGAATCTGCTGGTAGAATCAGACTTATAGAGATAAGCAGGGCAACCTGATGACCCCGGCTCAAGAATGTAAACTGCTCACCAGCTACGCTGAGCAGCTCTTCACTGGGGAGTCCTTCGTGCAGCCGCCTGTCTTGCCGCTGCCTGAGTCCATGTTCTGCGAGCGGGAATGGGTTGAGGCTTTCAGTCTCTGCTTCTGTGGATAGCTGGAAATCACATGTGCACGACGTGAGCATCAAGCTGGAGCGCATTGCGATTCAAGCGCTCACGGGACCAGATCCCAGCGTCCCTGAAGATTGGCTGCAGGTTCAACTGGCATGGCTCCCGAAGCCTAGCAAGCCACCAACCGAGGCCAGCCACCTGCGTACGATAGGGCTCATGACTCCGGATTGCAAGGCTTTCCTCATGATCCTGAAAAAGTTTGCGAACCCCTTTGTCCAGGAAAGGATGAACATCTACCCACAGTACGCCTACAGACAAGGCGCTTCTACATCGGATCCTATCCTCAGGGCGAGTTTGCACTGCAGTCAAGTTCGGCAGGACCTTGCAAAATGTGCGACCGATCTAACATCGAAGATCCTGTACAAGGCGCAACCGGAGCTCTGTGGCGGCATCATGGCTAATTTGGATCTTCGTAAAGCTTTCGACTCATTGCCTTTCTCGGAGCTGGAAACGGGCATGCCCAGTGAGCTTGCCTCGGTTATCATGGATGTACATGTACGCACCACGCTGCATATTCGCCACGGAGGTGACCATGGAAGCGCGACAATGACCAGAGGACTCAGGCAGGGCTGTCCGATTGCACCGATGGTGTATGCCGCGTGGACATGCCGTATATGCAGATTACTTAACCAAGCATTGGGCAAGCATTGGGCATCAGAGCATTTGAGTATGTATGCTGATGATAAACATGCCTTCTGGAGGGTTTGCTCGGTGTCTTCATTTCGACGGGCTCTTTCACAGCTGAGGGTTGTGATACAAACGCTGAGGGAGGCGAAAATGGAGGTGAATGTCGGTAAGTCCGCGGTGGTGATTGCGCTGAAGGGTACTCAAGCGCAACGCGTTCTCCATGTTCACACGCGCACATGGAATGGCATAGACAGTCTGGTGCTACGTCAAGATGGCCAGTGCACGAGCATCTACATACCCTTGGCAGAGCAGCTACCGTACTTGGGAGTTGTGTTGTCCTACAGGCAGTTTGAGCTTCACACGGCACAGGCTCGATGTTCCCGCGCTGACAAGCTCTTCGGCTCGCTCAGGCGGGTCCTAAGAACGCGTGGACTCTTAAGTACCGCTCAACGTCTTCGCATTTACAAGGCCTGTGTAGTTCCGGCGCTCCACTATGGCATCATGGCGGTGGGAGTGAACCAGGCTGTACTGAAGCTGTTGATTTCCACACATGCGCAGCATCTACGCAAACTGCTTCGGGTTTACGAACATGGAGTGACTAACTCAGAAGTTATGCAGCGTGCCCAACTTGATCTCTACTCAGAGCTGGAGGCCAAGGCTAATCGCCAGGTGTTGGCAATCTGCAACGACGCAGGTCGGGATGTACATCTACGACGGCTTGAGGAAGCTCGAGCACAGTGCAACCAGAAGGACCTGCGGCAGCTGGGCGCGGTGGGATTGATTTTCCTAGGGTGGAGGAGCAAAACCATAGTAAAACCATATTAAAACCATACCAAAACCATACCAAAACCATAAAATTTATGGTTTTGGTATGGTTTTGGTATGGTTTGCAGCTCCGGGCCGATGAAAACTTAGGAAAATCAATGGATTTGGCTGCTTTCGCTTGGAAAACCATAGAAAACCATTGTTTTTTTCAAACCAAAACCATAGAATTCCATTGTTTTTGATTGAAATTCATTGGTTTCCATTGATTTTTCTAGGGTGGAGGAGCAAACCCATAGTAAGACCATATTAAAACCATACCCAAACCATACCAAACCATAAAATTTATGGTTTTGGTATGGTTTTGGTATGGTTTGGGTATGGTTTTGGTATGGTTTGCAGCTCTGGGCCAATGAAAACTTAGGAAAATCAATGGATTTGGCTGCTTTCGCTAGGAAAACCATAGAAAACCATTGTTTTTTCAATGGTTCTGCTACCAAAACCATAGAATTCCATTTTTTTTGTTGAAATTCATTGGTGCCCATTGATTTTCCTAGGGTGGAGGAGCAAAACCATAGCAAAACCATAAAATTTTATGGTTTTGGTATGGTTTGGGTACGGTTTTGGTATGGTTTTCAGCTCCGGGCCAATGAAAACTTAGGAAAATCAATGGATTTGGCTGCTTTCGCTAGGAAAACCATAGAAAACCATTGTTTTTTCAATGGTTCTGCTACCAAAACCATAGAATTCCATTTTTTTTGTTGAAATTCATTGGTGCCCATTGATTTTCCTAGGGTGGAGGAGCAAAACCATAGCAAAACCATAAAATTTTATGGTTTTGGTATGGTTTGGGTACGGTTTTGGTATGGTTTTCAGCTCCGGGCCAATGAAAACTTAGGAAAATCAATGGATTTGGCTGCTCTCGCTGGGAAAACCATAGAAAACCATTTTTTTCAATGGTTCTGCTACCAAAACCATAGAATTCCATTGTTTTTGATTGAAATTCATTGGTGCCCATTGATTTTCCTAGGGTGGAGGAGCAAAACCATAGTAAAACCATATTAAAACCATACCCACACCATACCAAAACCATAAACTTTATGGTTTTGGTATGGTTTGGATATGGTTTTGGTATGGTTTGCAGCTCCGGGCCAATGAAAACTTAGGAAAATCAATGGATTTGGCTGCTTTCGCTAGGAAAACCATAGAAAACCATTGTTTTTTCAATGGTTCTGCTACCAAATTCCATAGAATTCCATTGTTTTTGATTGAAGTTCATTGATTTCCATTGATTTTTCTAGGGTGGAGGAGCAAAACCATAGTAAAACCATATTTACACCATACCAAAACCATACCAAGACCATAAAATTTATGGTTTTGGTATGGTTTGGGTATGGTTTTGGTATGGTTTGCAGCTCCGGGCCAATGAAAACTTAGGAACATCAATGGATTTGGCTGCTTTCGCTAGGAAAACCATAGAAAACCATTGTTTTTTTTCAATGGTTCTGCTACCAAAACCATAGAATTCCATTGTTTTTGATTGAAATTCATTGGTTTCCATTGATTTTTCTAGGGTGGAGGAGCAAACCCATAGTAAAACCATATATGAAAACCATAAAACAAACCGTAAAAAAACCATAACAAAACCATAGTGAAACCATAAACCAAAAACGCAGACAGCACCAGACCATACTGATTCCATAAATGCAAACCGTATTGAAACCATACTGAAACCATAAAAGAAATTACCCAAGGATCTGTGCCATAGGCTGCAAAAGATTCTCTCAAAGCTAGAGAAAGCCATGTTGACCAAGGCGGATTACCCATTTCAATGTGCTTGCCCAGGGCGGAGGCCACGCTACAGCAGGTCATTAATGCCTGGTATCGCGAAGGGGAGTACAATGCACTCACCTATACGGATGGAGTGGTTGTGATTCAGCTTGGCAGGTTCGTGAACGGCCGAAAGAATATGACTCCCATCTCGGTGGAAGAGGCCTATGGCTTCCATTTTTCGCTGAGGGCATCAACGTTACTTGGGAGTTGTTTCGTGTCACGGCAATGCAGGTGCATCTAGGACACAGTCCACATCAGGGCCACTATCGCAGTCTGCTGCGTGTCGGCGGCTCGTGGCTTTATCAGGATGATGGACGGAGGGCTGAGCCAGTCTGTTTCAGTGCCATACACAAGCGTCATGGATACTTGGTATGGCTCCTCAAGTCCAGTGCGTAGCTCCTTGACCCTTTCGGTCATGGGGGATGCCATGCAGGAGGCTGAGCAGTTCTTCTTTGATCTTTACATGCCCCATGGTAAACCGTCGGATGCAGATCTTGCTACTGAAGTGCCTTCCTCTGAGATCTCGCGAGAATCTGAAGCCAGAGGGGCCAAGCTAGCTCGTATGGCAGCGAATGGCAATCCTGGGGATAAGGGAGGTCAGGGCAAGGGCCGAAATGGGTATGGAGACCGCAAACGAGGTGCACAGCCTTGGACATACAGGGGAGGCCAACAAGGCGAGTATGGACACTGGGATCGTCGGCACTGGCAGGGACATGACAAATCGGAGGCGGACATCCAGCAAGCTCTGCATACATTGCAGAAGCTTGTGCTTCGGCATGAAGACTTGTCATCTTTCTTCGGATACATGCTCACAGCTCTGTTGTCCAACCCTTGAACAAGGCCCAGCAAGAATGGCGCCGGCTCAAGGCGTCTGACCCCTCTAAGCTGACACATCCGATGCGCTCGACTCTTCTTCTCTGCTTGTTCCGTGAGCTCGGCCAGCGCCTTGAGAACATCAAGAATGCAGCGCAGGAGGATTGACCTTGAAATGGCTGCCACGGACAACACGGACAACCCGACGTGGGCCTATCTCAGATGGTGTGCAGAACGTCAGCGCTTGGAGCCGGAGTCCGGGCGCGCAGGCTTGTCGTATCTCAAGGCCATTGAGGCGGTGCAGGCGATTCTGAGGCTGGTGGCTGTAGAGGGGGCGGTGGTCGCTTTCCATCCCAAGCGGCCGCTGACACCGCAGATGTCAGGGGAAACCCTGACTTGTGAGCTTCAAGTGGGCACCCGGAGCAAGGAGGCTGCTGCCCTTCATGAATACCTTACGCTTCTGAGCAACTCGGCAGCGACGCAGCTGATTGGTGCCAGCATCCGTCCCGAACAAATGCAGCGATCGGCAGTGGCGCAGATTGTCTCCAAGCAGCTCGGGTGAAAGCAGTGAGGGCAGAGGCACGTTGCACCGGATCCATCGGCCACTACATGCAGGAAGGTGGCGACGGCGGCAGTGCTCAGGGGCTTAACCTCCGGGTTGGCAATGGGTGAACCCTTCCGAAGTGAAGGCACCAAGGACTCAGCCAATGGCTGAGGCTTTGGCTATGGCGGCTATGGCTTGTTTCTCGAGTTGTGCAGACGCGTTTCCTCGGGGATGAACGGGGTGCAATCTCGCGCTTCGGAAAGAAGCACAGACCTCTGGCAACAGGATTGTGAGTTGTGGCTATCCGTGTGCATCGTGGTCATCACATTCCGGGCTGCAGTAACTGTGGTAAAGCAATGGCCAGGACTGATGTACCGGATGATGGCCGTGAGTAGTGCTGTGAACCAGGGATACCGCAATGTGTATTTTCTCAACCCCACGAAAGATGAGTGCGCAAAGCCGCCCACAGCAAAGGACTTGGGAGGCAGCGCCGAAGCATCCTGATTGAAGGCATCTCCACGATCCAGGTGTCGGATGGCAGCAAGTCAAACATGTCCTGGAGTGTAAGCCAGGAGACTTCACCCTCCCGCAACGCATTTTGAGCCTGCAGTTCTATGTCCCCCACTGGAGCCACATCTGGAATGAAATCATCTGCAACCCTGAAGGAACCAGTCTGAAAAGCGGGCCAAACTGCCATGGAAGTCTCATTATGCATGGAAGCTGGCGTGGTTGCAATGCTCCGCACGGAACCTTGCACTGCATACGGATGAGTCTCTCGGGAGTCGCGTGCCGGCGCAGATCGAAACATTGGCACTGGCGCGTGGCAGCAAATCCGTATGGCCTTGCTGACTGTCCTGTATATTGAGAGGCTGGTTAACAGGCATCCAACTAAGGCATCGAGTCAGCTCACCGCAGCTCATGAAATCAGAGCAAGCAAATCTCATAGGAGCATCCTCAACTGGCAAATCTTTTGAAAGCGCCACTCACCAGTGGGTGTTCCATGTGCCTAGCCGTCTCAGCCGCACACCACGCTTGCCTCAGAATGACAAGGGGCAGCGCTACACAGGCGCGCGCACATGCCAACGATGATAGATCTTCCAATCTCCTGATTCCTTTTTCAGAATTCATGTCAGGACAGGTGTGGATTGCCTGCTCGGATGGGGACACACAGCTTGCTGCGCATGGACGGGCGGGCAGAATGCACTCCACTCAGGCTCCGATCTATTTCCATCCTAGGAGGCACCATGCTACAGCTCCTTGGGAGGGTCAGCGGTATGTGCTAGTGGCATTCCACATTCGCAGCGCCTCGCGACTCAAGCCCGAGAACATGCAGGACCTGCTGCGGTTAGGCTTCAAGCCCTTGGTATCTTGTGTCATAGATGCTACGGCGGAGTATCGTATGCTACACACACTAGGTGCGCAAGGCATGCAGGATTGCATTGAAGGTATGGCATACTCAGACCGACATGCTCACGGTGATGATCCTGGCGATGCGGATAGGCTGGAGGCGGCGGCTATGTCATCGATGCCCGAGTGCGCTGACTGACCCGCAAACTTCCCTCATGTGAGGCCGCACCGTAGTGTTTCCGTTGCGCAGCTTGTCTTGAGTACAATTGGAAGTACAATTGGAAGAAGCGAACTACCTTGCTCGCTTAGCTATTGCTGAACATGAAATGATTTATGATTCTGTATGCTTGGCCCTCAAGGGGCGATACAGCATCACAGATGTTGCTAGGGGCCTAGGCCCGAACATCTTTTGCGAAGTTACGCCTGCTGTCCACAGTGATGGCCGGACCGATGGTCTGATCAGGGCTCTGCCGGACATCGACAGATGTGCGCGACTCGGAAGGAAGGAAGGGAGTAGTAGTAGTCGTAGTAGTCGTAGTCGTGTCGCAGTCGCAGTCGCAGTCGTAGTACTAGTAGTAGTAGTAATAGTAGTGGTAGTAGTAGTCGTTGTAGTAGTAGCAGCAGCAACAAAGTAGTAGCAGTCGTAGTAGTAGTAGTAGTAGTAGTAGTAGTAGTAGTAGTAGCAGTAGTAGTAGTAGTAGTAGTGGTAGTGGTATGGTGGTAGTGGTAGTACTCGTCGTCGTAGTACTAGTAATTAGTAGTAGTATCACAGTCATAGTAAGAACACAAATAGCTTTGAAATAGCAGTAGTAGTAGTAGTAGTAGTAGTAGTAGTAGTAGTAGTAGTAGTAGTAGTAGTAATAGTAGTAGTAGTAGTAGTAGTAGTAGTAGTACTAGTAGTAGTAGAAGTACTAGTACTAGTCGTCGTCGTAGTAGTAGTCGTAGTAGTCGTAGTCGTAGTCGTGTCGCAGTCGCAGTCGTAGTACTAGTAGTAGTAGTAGTAGTAGTAGAAGTAGTAATAGTAGTAGCAGTAGCAGTAGTAGTAGTAGTAGTAGTAGTAGTACTAGTAGTAGTACTACTACTACTACTACTACTACTACTAGTAGCAGTGGTAGTAGTAGTAGTAGTAGTGGTGGTGGTAGTAGGAGTAGTCGTAGTAGTAGTAGTAGTAGTAGTAGTAGTAGTAGTAGTAGTAGTAGTAGTAGTAGTAGTAGTAGTAGTAGTAGTAGTACTGGTAGTAGCAGTACCAGTGGTAGTAGTAGTGGTAGTGGTAGTAGTAGTAGTAGTAGTAGTAGTAGTAGTAGTAGTGGTAGTAGTAGTAATAGTCGTCGTCGTCGTAGTGGTAGTGGTAGTAGTAGTAGTAGTAGTGGTAGTAGTAGTAGTAGTAGTAGTAGTAGTAGTAGTACTAATAGTAGTAGTACTAGTAGTAGTACGAGTAATAGTACGGGTAATAGTACTAGTAATAGTAGCAGTAGTAGTAATAGTAGTAGTAGTAGTAGTAGTAGTAGTAGTAGTAGGAATAGTAGTAGTAGTAATAATAATAATGATAGAATTAATAATAATAGTAGTAGTGGTGGTGGCCGTGGTGGGTAGTCGTAGTAGTGGTAAAAGTAATAGAATAGTATTAAAAGTAATAATAATAGTAGTAGTAATCGTCGTCGTCGTAGTCATAGTAGTAGTATAAGCATAATCAAAATGTCGGCAGTGTAGCTGGGAACAGGAGTAGATAGTGGTGTGATAGTAGTAATTGTCGTCGTCGTTGCAGTACTAGTAGAAATAATAGTCGGCTTCGTGGTCGTAATAGATGTGTTAGCGATAGCAGCAATACCACTCATAGCAGTAGAAGTAGTGTTGTAGCAATAGCGGCAGCAATTGCACCAGCAGTGGCAGCAACAGCAACGGTAGAGCTGGCAATGCATGAAGTAGCAAATCGTTGTTGTACTGGCACCACTAGTAGTCGTCGTCTTTTTGGTGGTGGTAGTGTCGGTATAGTTGTCTATAGTAGGAACACGTAGGAACCACAATAATCATCGTAGTCGCCGTCGTGATGGTGGTAATATGAATATACTGACTACATACAATAAGGTGAAAAGGGCTTGAATTATGCGGGTAGAGGTGATGGTGATTAGAAGTGAAGTGATGCAAACAAAACATACGGAAACGATGGTATTGGAAGCGGCGGCATTCGCGAGACGCTCACACTTCAGCTTGCCGGCATTCGATGTGTCATGGAAGGGACGAGTTCGGAAGACACATTTCCGCCGGACAACCTGGATTTAATGACGCTATTGACATTCAATGCGCGTCGCCACCAATACAAGGCTGCATACTTGGGGAAACGGCTGAACATGATGCACGGATATTTTTCAGCACATCGATGCTTCTTCTCGTTCACTGATTGAAAACCGTGTGGGCAGCGTCAGTTTTTCGCATTCATGGGCATACATTCCGCTTCACTGTTAACAACCCCTGAAGCTCCTACGTGCCGCGACAATTAGTGCTACTTTGCTAGGTGCAAAACAGCATATGACCATACCCAGCAGCGGGATCGGTCTTCAATCAACAGCTCTTGACCTTCACGGCTTTTGCGATGAAGATCTTACAAACATCGTCTGGCCTGCTTAACCCTGAGCGTTCGGCAGCCTCGCACCGCAGTCGCTGCCAAACGCATTTCTTGCGGCCTCAATACATGTCAGAAACGTCACCAAATGCACAGGCGACACACGCTGCAGCGACTCTGCGGCAGTTTCGATTTCGTCGTGATGCGACCCGTGCGCTTGGTGACTGAGATTCTCCGATGTACACTTGGCCATGTTCAGGCTTTCGCCCCGAATCAGGATCACGTAGCAGCCACGCCACTGCCTGCTCTGCCAGGATATCGGATCGGCAAACGAGATCAAGCTGCAAGAGGCGGAAGGCGATTAGCCGTGCTCGTTTGTTCGCATTCTTCGCGCCCGGCTGCGCTTATCCACAGCCAGCACTGCTGGCCTGGATACACGGACAATACGCAGAACCGAACCCCGGAACAGACACATGATACACCCACAGCTACAATATAAGGTTGATTGGCATTCTGGGATTCTAAGCGCTTTATGGGCATGCCGTTCGCAACCCTCCACACAAGCCTGGTT